TAGCTACTGGCCTGCAATGGTATGGTTAGAGTAAATTAAGATAAAATTCAGTTTTATCTTAATTGTGTGACTTGTTATCCTCAGCGGGAGAGAGATGATGTTACTTCAGCAATGTTATTCCACGCATGCGCCTGGCAGCTTTAATTAGTTTGTTTATGTTTTACGCACCAAATAACCAGTAAGAAAATTGTGGAACCGTTTCATATCATGACCTTCGTATCATGCCGCTGAAGGAAGGTCATCTCGACAACAGCCAATATGTTACTAGTCTTTTTATTATTTGATAAACTCTACTGTGACCTTTGTTTTGAGAGTTACATGGTTTTAAATCAATAATTCGAAAGATCAGTTTAATATTGAGAAGCCAACCAACTAGATGGTCAGTGAGTGTTAGACTCGAGCATTGAGGTGGTGGTGTCTTCTCTAATTGCCTTGATGGTGAAAACTACTAAAAGGTATAGTGATTATAGGAAGAAAGATATAATATTTGTGATGGATCAAGGTAGTTCGTAAAGAAGTTTGTTGTTTATAATTAACACGGTACAAATGTTTGCCAAGAGAGTGCGGAGTTAAACTTGCATCAATCACATCTTAACCCATGTGGAAAGCTTGGCACCTGATTTGCATATGTGGTCAAGTCCAGACCGATCGATACAGCAAACCAGGCTGAGAAAGCCTGAATCTCTGTAACACATAATGAAACACCGGCCATTTGTCTAGTCGACAACCTGTAACTCTATCAGTGTCGTGGAAAGAAAAGCTGTGCTACAGGAACGGACTTGAATTAGGAGCACGACCGTTGAAAGGATCGTCTTACGACACGCTCTGTGACCTAATTCAAGATACAAGTAATTTAGATATTTTATAACCCAAACTAAAGCAGAATTGGAGCTTTATTTTCAAACCCAACTAATTTAACTTTTATGAGGCGTGTGGGAAGTTTCGCTTTCAAGATAATTTGGTAAGTTGATCGACCGAAAGCTGAGGTTTTTTCCAGCTCATGCCATTTGGCTCATTGGTTTTCTTTGATTCGTTTTGATCAAATTATCGATTGTCCTTTTTAGCTAACTTGCATAAATAGAGCGCCAAAATAGTCAATCTCCAGTAAATATCCAATACTTAGGAATGGCATATTTATTGAAGAAACAAGCATTCTACGATATACAGCGAGAATATATTATGTATAACGATTTTTATCAAGTCAGTTGAAAGCTCTACACAAACCTCGCCAAACCAAATCCTGACCCTCATATTCTTTTCCCAAATATCTGTTCCATGGTATTCCTATTTTCCTGGATTTACTTCGTCAAATTTCGCTATACAACGGCCTTTCTTTTATTTCTCTTGAGACCTTTATATCTTTATGAGTCCGCTTTACAGTTTAATAACGAGCCGGCTCATTTGGTTCGAATCCCGATTCTATTTTCAGTGCTGACCTCTCTAAAAGTTTGTGAGTAATTTACGTGCTTATATTTATTTTGTGACATTATAATTTTAGTCAAAAGTTCTATTTCGAAGCCTGTTTAACTTGGTTTTTTCTACCGAAACGAAAATTATGAGAGAGAGGTTTTTTTACGAGGAAAAAAAGCTTCGATATTAAACTTGTATGAGTCACCATTCGACCGTTACTAAATGCAAATTTGTTAAAAATTTAAACAGACAAAAATAAAATATCTACTTTTTGATTATCGCTATATAAATAAGAAAATACATTTTACATTTCGATCAGTTTTTTTTTCTTTTTTTTCTTTTTTCTTTTTTCTTTTTGCAATGATGGCGTTACCAAGTCATAAGTCTTGTTTATGCTTAAGCCATTCATTCTAGAACATCTAGCCACATTATTAATGCAATTTCATTGGAAGCAGCGATAAACCCATGAATCAATCAGCATAGAGACTTCGTAATTTTCCATAAGCGAAAGAGTAATCTTCTATGTTTACTCCAGCCAGTGGTCTATCGCTTTCGAGTCACTTGCACTTTATGTAGGTTTGTGTAATGTGTCTTTCTTTCAAGACTTTCTTTCTTATCCTGAGCTCTTCGAGTTGCAAATTTAAAATTTATGATATTGTTTAGAACTGTCTAAGAGTATATTTTTATTTCAGATGTTTCCGATAACTTAAAGAGTTGCAAATCCGCCGCAGACATGCCAAAGAAGTCTGCATCAGGCGAACGAAAAAGTTCCACCACTCGACTTTTCAGGTCGGTGTCTCTTAGTTCCCGGAAACATCAGAAAGATCAAACTGGAAAAGAAGGAAGGGACAGAACATCGAGTGGAATTTCAGACTCGGAAAAACCTGATGTTTTGATCGAAAGAAATTCCGAGAATTTGGAAGGGAAAGAAAATGGAGTCTTGAAAAATGAAAAGATCAAAGAAGAACTACGGGAGATGGAATCGAAACTATGTGAAATGACAGCGAAACTACACAACGCAGAGCTCGAGAACGAGAATCTAAAATCGTTATTGAGTTCTAATTTTAATGGACCAGTTAGGACCTCAATGGAAGGGATTGTGGAGGAAGCTTTTGGACTTGAAGTTCCAGGGCAAAATAAAACAGTGATTTATCCTTCAAAAGTCGAGGAAAATACTACGGAGACAATTATTGAAGCAAGTGGGTATGCGGTTCACTTAAACCACACAAATACGTGTAAAGAATGCGATAAACTTAAGGAAACCACTATCAAAGCTCTTGTAGAATCGGTAGCACTTCGGAAATATGTACGTCAGCTTTCCGAAGCACTTTCCGGTGGTGACCAGGCAAAGAAAAGTATTTTAGAGACGTTGGAAGAAAAGCTCATTTCAGCACAAACTGAGAAAGAGGTTGCGTTAGAAGAGCTGGCCCATGTGATTGAACAAAGGAATCAAATTGTGAGCGAGAGGGATAGAGCACTGGAAGAGTGGGGCAAGGCTGCCACTAAATGGGAAAGTACTTTAGACCAGGTTGACTGCTTGATGAAAGAACTTAACAAGGTATGCAAGCTGTATGTGAGCCGTACATTGGCTTCGATTGATGGAAAATTAGTTCTTTCTTTGTAATATTCTGTGGACAAGAATCGTCCAAGATTATGTCAAAGATAAAACAAAGAGTAAATTTGGGGAGGGGAGGGGGGGGGGGATAAATGCCATAACATGGCATGTGTTGCTGCATTTTCAAAAATGTTGGAAGGGTGAAATTAGGTTCCTGTAATTCATTCCTCCATTTCTGAGGTTTATACTTGTTGCCCATGCATCATATAAAGGGATAGGCACATTCTAATAAAGCTATAATGCATCTTAATAATAAAATAATATTACAGACATGTGTCTAGATTGCTCGTTCAAGCTATGATGCTTGTAACGCAAGTGTTTGAGATTAGCTGTAGTCCAAGGTCTCCCTCTGTTTGCTCTGGCAGGCAATAAGAGACTTGCTCCTGACAGGCTAGGGTCACCCTACCTTCATCTAAGTACAGCCCGAAAATATCGTCAGTTCAGTTGAGCACCTTTTTGGTGGCCCATTCATGGCATTTTTTCTCCTATAGAGGATTTGCCATTTTTCTCTGTCATTATAATGAAATCACTAGCATGGTTGTCTGTTGGCTTTCATAAGAAAAGAAACTGAAGAATAATCTCCTTTTCTTCGAGTCATTATTGGTCTCGCTAGTTTAAAATTTTATTTTTGATTTTTGAGACTGAATATGGAAGCCGCATAGTTTGTTTTCAGCGAACTGCTGCCACAAATAAAAAAAAATCATTCAATTATAGTAATTATCATAAATAATAATTATTAATTACTATCTAATTATTATTTTGCTAAATAATCATTATTCGGTGACCCATGGCGACTCTATCAACATGACATCATGGTGGTGTCTCGTTTGGTTTCGATTTTTATACAAAAAAATAAATTTTTTTTTTTTGATCTTAAGGATTTACGAATTCGTATAACGCTTCTACGATGCGGCGTGCACTGGAATAATCTACAGTAACCCGTTGTCATAGGAACCAATGTTTCACTCGATAAGCAATCTTAGTTCTCCGTCATAACCTGTTCTTTTGAAATGATCTGTCAGTTACTTAGATGTACAAAACCTGCCGAAATTTATGATCTTTTCAAATGAAGTTCTGTCGCTATTTATTTTCAACCATAACTGTCTCACTGTCTCACGTTATACATTTACTTTATTGGACATTATATGTATATAGCCTAAAGAGTCTAGGAATAAAGTATAAGTTGTATTTGAATAAATATTTGTGCACGTATATAAGATATATCCTATTGATGCAAAAAGGACAGTGGCTTACGCGTTTTTCAATTGTTTGACAGCCAATTTATTTTCTCTTATTTGTAAATATTTTCTAGAAGGTTTAACCCTTATCAAAATTGAAATGATAGAACTTTGCGTCGATGTCCTGTCATGCTGATTTTATCGACAAAAGGTTTTAATTAATATACAAATGTCCTATTTTATCAATAGATTGGAAACTATGGACTTCCTATTTCTCCAGTTTCAGCTGTAAGGTCTTTGTCTTTTGTAAATACTAAATCACGGAAATGAAATTCAAAAGTGAATGATGGCAGTCGAATTAATTGTGGGGCTATTTTTGTGTGAGAATCAGTTTTGCTTGAGGCAAAGGCTGGTTTTTTTTTTTTTTTTTTGGAATTAAAACGTTTTGTGGAATAAGTACTGAAACATTTAAATTGATTGCATAAGTCGTATTATCATATGACCCGTATCTGCACGAGCGCGCGCTCTTAGAAAAACGTTCGGGAAAATGGCGTGAGCAGGGCCGTAGGAATCCATACGGTCCTGCTCGAATCCGCGCGCTTTCTCTTTTTTAGCTTTTATTTTCTATTTCTTTCTTTCTTTCATTTTATTATTATTTTTTTCGTGAGGGTCTTATGATAAAATGCTTATTTACTGAGTTAGGTCGGTCTGTACGGGAAAATATTTGGCTCTCGGTCATTTGTACGGCATCACCTCGAGCCAAATATTTTCCAGTACGGCCCTCCCGCTCAGTCAATAAGTACATAGTTTTCCCTCCTTTGCGGGTCGTGGTCACTTAACTAGCGCTTAACTAGGTGTGTGAGCGATGGCCAGAATTGACAGAAGAGCGAAAACACCGAATTATGGAATCTGTCTATGAAATATTATGAAACCGAAAAATTCTATAAAGATATTACGAAAGCGTGAAAGGTGCTTTTTAAAGACTAAAAAGTGTTTTGTGGATTAAGTGCTCTAATATCATGAATCCGAAAAATCCTATAAAAATGGTTCGAATACTACTTCAATATTAAAAAGGAAAAATAATATGCATTTGAATACAAATATAAAGTTTCTTGATTTATGCCTATCGGGGCAGGAATCAAACAAACGAAAAAATGTCTATGTAAAATCTTACAGTGAGTTTAAAACGACAATGAGGCAAGAAAGCAAGAAAGCATACAGATATAACTGATGATGAACAGAAACAAATAAAAAACAAAAGCCATGTGAAACAAACACTGAGAAACCAAACAAACATACAAAACTGACAAACAAACAAACAAACAGACAAACAAACAAACAAACCAAACGAACTATCAATCAAAAACAATATTGATAATAATAATGATACATGCACACAAAGGGAAAAGGAAGGGTTTATTAGCACACACCTTAGCGGTGAAGGCGGCGCCGAATCAAGAGTGGACAAAATGACCGGCTCTAAGCATTTTTGGAGCTTGAAAGAACAAAGCAAACATGGCGGTTAGGTTAAATTGTTTTTATTCTTCCTTTCCATATTTCTGCTTCCTGTAGGCACGTATATTATAATTTAGTTAAAAGAAAACAGAACAACACGCAAAAGTTGAGTTAGAGTAGCCTGGGAATGAGATCGGAGGCAAAACATGTAAACGCGCTATGATTGGCTGAAAAAAAAAAAAAAATCACCGCTCAGTTGGAAATAGAAAAAATAAAAATAAAAAATAAAAAAGCTACACTCGCAATGAAAATCGACTAGAATATTTCCTAACTAGAAAATCCTTTCAGATAATTGTATATCGTCTAATGTTTTTTTCTATTTTTCCATTCTCAGGTCAAATCCAGTCGTGAGGATATGGTTTTCCAAATCGAAAAAGCTGAAACGCGAATGAAGGAAGAAATGGACTCAAGAGAGAAACTTCTGGAGGACTTTGCGAATCTAAACGAGCAGTTGAACTCGACTGAACGAGAGAGAATCGATTCGACGAACGAACACGACCACATAACGAAGTATAGACTCGAAAGAGAAGAAATATTACAAAAGACAAAAGCTCAACTGATTAAGGCACAACAAAGATGTCTAGAACTGGATGCCAAGTTGACAGCTATTACGGAGAAGTCTGAAAGTTCGAGAAAAGAAAGAGATCATGCAAGGGAGCAGTGGGGGAATTCGCTCAAAGAAAAAAAGAAATTACGTCGAGAAATGGTGGCTGTTGTTTTAGCACGAGACGAAGCGATTCAAAAATGTTTTTCTACAGCGGAGAAGCTGGATAAGCTAAAAGAGGATTATAATCGATTACTTAATCGACTGGCAAGGACTGGAATAGCTTCTAGTGATTCGGTATCCACGTGTTCTTCTAAGGAATGTCATTTTTGCTCGAGCCAAGACTGGTCTGGAAGCTTACAGGTATTGATGGTTTTCACAGCCGACATGTTGGATGAACTTAACGAAAGATTCGTCATTAGTCTGTTTTGTTATATCATCCAACATGGCCGCCGTGTCTTTTGTTATTTTGCATACTCTTGGGAATGATTGCAAACCAGCAATGGATCTAACCAGAATTTTCACAATGTAGACCACGTGTCATTCCCTTGAGGATTAAGCAGCAGTCACATTGGGCAGCATTGCAAGCAAAATTGTGCGCAACAAATCTCATTCGGAGGCGATAAGATATGCAACACTGATCACTCAACATCATTCCAGTATGGCGTCTTCCTTCGATAACACGCCTGCCATACTAAAACTTTTGGTCAGCTGTTTTCATTTTACTGCAATGTGATTAGCTAAAAACTTCGAAATATTGCATTTCGTGGGTGGACAAAACACTAAAACAATCTTGTTTTGCGCAATGCTGCAACTTGTGTGGTTGCGCCTTATTTTATGTAATGCTAGAGAAGAGTTTAAAAGTTTATTTGTAATGCTAGAGAAGATGTAAGAGTTAATTACCTAGAACGGAGGCAATAAGGCATAGGCTTATTGCCGACGTTTTAGGTAATTAAGTATTCTATCAAATGTTGCTCATTATAAATGCGAAGTCTATATATAGTTATTAACCGGGTTAATAACTAACTATATATTGACCTCGCATTTATAATGAGGATTATAACAAAAATATAGCGGACCGATCTTCAACGGTAAATAACTCATTTAATTTTTCTCTCATTTACTATCCCATTTGTATTGCAATTTGTTTTGTTTAGAATTCCGTTTTCCTATGCGCGCGCGCTGATTTCGTAAGCCTTACGTCAGGATACTAGACCGAGAAGCAATAGAAAACAGATATCTCCCACTCACGCAGCCAATCAGAACGCATGATTCTTAGATTCTTAGGATACCGTACGAAGAAAGCCCCAACAACAAACGTAACAACAAAAAAAAAAAACAAAAGAAAACGAAATGGACGAATGCTCAAAGGAAAGGGGATGACATGGTATATCGAATGGGTATTGACTATAATAATAATTACTGATCGTGCATCTGAGATTAGCAGTTTGCAGGCCGTTACAACAAGATCTCTCAAGATTTTGAGTTCTTTGTCTAGAATATTCATGTGTTTCATGTAATTTGGAACTCGAATATGTTCTATTCTCTTACTTTTTCTGTAAGTGTTAGTCACCGGAACGGAGGTATTAAGCTATACAGTCCTTTGACTAAACGTTGTCGTTTGATTGGCTTCATCCCTACGCGCCTAGACCGAAAATGATCATGGGGATAATTAATTCACAGTTACTAGCTGCCGCATATACGTGTTATCTAACACGCCTTGAGCTCGCTTTTTTCGATTAATTTGCTGAAACCATGCCTCGAGCATACGGCGAAGATTTAAACTGGCGAGCAGTTTGGATGACGCAAGTTCTGGGTAATTTACCCGTTATCCTTTTCGATCTAGGCACGTAGGGATGATCCGATCAACGACAACGTTTAGTCAAAGGAATGTATACAAGCTATATATGCCATCAGCTATTAATACCAACGAAATTATTCGTACATCATTATTATAGTTGTGGCTTCTAAGAATGATACCTCTATCTTAACGTAACGTGTCGTCATTTTGGTTTTCATGTACTCGTTTTTTTCTCAAAGGATCTTCAACAACTGGAAGGCAAAGAGGTCACTTCACAGTTAAATCAGGTAAGCAGGGAAGCTGATATCAGTTGCTCTATCAACCACCTCAAGATTACCATGCATGAGTTTAGGGCGATTTTTACTGAACTCAGGACGCCCTCCGTTGTCAAAACTTTCTCAAAATAGAATATACACAGGCAAATAAACTCAAAAGGTAACGAGGTCTATTTTGAAAACAAACAAACAAACAAACAAAAAAAAAAAAAAAAAACAAAAAAAAAAAAAAAAAAAAAAANAAAAAAAAAACAAACAAAAAAACCGCAAACTAATTGATAACCAGTAAAAAGGTGTTTTTAGAACAATCTTTCGAAGCCAACTTACATGGTCTGGTTAGGATTTCATTTCTCAGTTAAATTTCAGGCTTTTTGTCGGTTGTCAATTAAATTAAAAAAATTGATGGCATTTGTCAGTTGTCAATAAACCTCATTCAGACCCTCAAAATTAATGTACGGTATTTTCAATGGACCTAATCCAATGTTTTCCCATTTCAGACCATGTGCCATTCCCTAGAGTATTATTTCTTTGTTTTACGGTTGCACATGAGAAGACACATGAATATGTATACGACTCAAACAAAGAATCTTATTCTCAAGAGAGTGACACGTGGTCTGACATGGGCAGAGTACACTCAAGTGGATTTGGTCCACTAGGACCACTCTGACAAAGTGAACCAACCAAAATATAGAGTGAAATGAAAGATTCCAACGTGAGTCAAACTAAAACATGTAACTAGTTTCCCTCTTTTGATTGGCTGCAGTATTCACTCTGTATCATCATGATTGGTTGCCTTTGTAAGAGTGGCTCCGCTTATTGTATCGGCACGTACTGCTTTCCGCCCAACAATATGACTACTCAGGTCACAAATGAATCATCCACATCGATCCTTGTTCTCTGTTGTAGGATGATCCGTTAGAGAGCATCAAGATTGCTCGTGTCCTATGTCATGGACGAGCGTACATCGCTGTCATGGAAGTCGACAAGGCATTAGGAGCAGCTAAAAATATTCAGTAAGCTAATTGCTACATTTACACAGTTATTTATGATTAGAGCTCAGTAAGCTGCCTTGAGAAGAATCACATTTATAAGTTCCTTTCCTCCCAGTTATAAGGACCCCCCCCCCCCTCCTTCTGTTAAAAACGGATTTTTAGTTATAAGCACCACCTCTCCCCCTCCCCCCTTACTCCAGTTGTAAGCTTTCTTCATTGACCAGAGATCATTGACAGGGCTTTTAGCAGGGGTCTTAAAACTAGAAGTTATTTGTTGCTATAAAATATTTGAGATATAACGCGCGCGCTGATTGGCTGGCTACCGTGTTTATATCAAAGGACAGAGACACGCTCGCGCGAAATCATTTAAAAATACTCTGGGAGCTGTAGAGCACTCGAGAAGTCAACTAAACACTCGGCTACGACTACCTACTACGACTTCTCTCTTGCTCTACAGCTCCCGTCGTGTTTATATCACAGTATATAGACACGCGCACCGTTTTATATTCCTTAATTAGTAGACGGTTGCGCTCATATCCGGGGGGGGGCTTATATCAGGGATTTTACGGTATTATATATTTGGAATTATGAGTTATGAAGTTGAATTTGATAGCCTTGAAAATTCTGTTTTTATCCAGGATATATGACGAGATTGTATCTATTAATGATATGCCAGTCAATGAAAACGACCAGAATCTCGTAAGGTCTGTGTTGGACGGCGCTACATCCAGCATTACCTTGGTAACGGCTTTTCTTTTCTCCTTTTCTTTAATGATCAATTGGCCATTCCAAGCTTGAAGAAAAAAAACTGGGTGGAGTTGGTATTGCAGTGCATTTTGGGGCTGCTTTAGGGGACATATTTTCGAGATGGCGTTTATTTTGTCCCCCAAAACCGCCCCAAAATGCACTGCAATACCAACTCGACTCAGTCCACTTTTCCTCAGCCTTGAAATGGCTAATAATGAATTTTAATTTTTTAAGATCAAAGTTAGTATTTCTATGGGCAAAATTTGCAAACACCCTTGATTCCCATCTGAAAGGTCTTCGATCTTATGGCATTTTGTGGTCCGTTAAGTCCTTGGATCCTAATGAGTACACAAACCCGAGGAATATGTAAAAATCCACGCGAGCGAAAGAAAACAAACAAACGTGTATGAATGAATAATGGAACATGGCATCAATAATATATTTCCATATTTTTCAGATACTAATTCCAAATTCTTGTTTTTGGGATCAGGTTCTTCGACGGCAAACGACTAATTGTCAGTTGACTTTTGATGTTGAACTGAAATTCCCTAAAAAATCAAAAACAGGTTTGTACATGTCGTTTATATTCATTTCTTTGTGTTGTACCAACACGCTAAATTACATTCGAACTGTTAGCTTGCTATGCCCTGACTTTGATCAGCCCAGAGGTTGTTTCGATCTGTGAGTTAGTCCTTCCTTGACTTAGAGTAGCCTAGAGGTTGTTCAGGGCTGGATCTGTGAGTTAGCCCTGCTCTGACTTAGATCAGCCTAGAGGTCGTTTCAGGGTTTGAACTGTGAGTTAGCCATGCCCTGACTAAGATCAGCCCAGAGGTGGTTTCACTGTGTTATCTGTGAGTTAGCCGTACCCTGACTTAGATCAGCCCAGAGGTTGTTTCAGGGTTCGAACTGTGAGTTAGTCGTGCCCTGACTTTGATCAGCGCTGAGGCTGTTTCAAGGTTCAATCTGTACGTTAGCCCTACCCTGACTTAGATCAGCCTCAACTACAGGTAAAGAAATAAATACTATTCAAGGGAAACAAACGTGACTGCAAGGAATCATTGCTCCTAAGAATCCGGAGCGCAAAAAAGCCCGGGGGGGGGAGACTCCGGGAAAAAAGTACCGGGGATGCTCGTCGGAAATTTTCAAAAAGCCTTTAAAAAAGGGCGTGGCTGAATGATTTTTAACCCCTAAGAGATATCACAACAAATAATATTAAATTAAAAGCGTCTAGGAAAAGCCATATCGATGCGCGCTTCTCTCCTTTTCCGACACCCTAAGAGACAGCAGAAAATGCTGATTTTCAAAAATTCGCATTTAACACCCTAAAAGATACCAAACCGCGAATTTTTACCCCTAAGAGATACGACGAGCATCCCCGGTACTTTTTTCCCGGAGTCCCCCCCCCCCCCCCGGGCAAAAAAGTGACCCAATTTCTTTGATTCTCGATTGCGTCCATCTTATAGGTCTAGGATTCGAGTGTGGTTTGTACGTAAAAGAGAATTCATTTGGTGTAGCAGCGAGCTCAGATAGCCGAAGCTTGGATGTAGGGGACTACATTAACAAAGTAAGTCATTCCTCATGTGATGATATCACTTCTTGAAATAAGTTATCATCTATTCATAGATACTAAAAAAGTCCATGTTATTTAAACACTTACAGTGTACCCTGAACCAGAGACAATACTTTCGGTATTGATTCTATATGAAGTCAATTGAATATTCGATTGGTGAAATATTTCTTCATTTGAGTGTTGCATCTTCACGTCATAATGGTTTAAACTTTTGACGGTGATGTCATACCGGTCCTAAAAATACAAATTTTACTTGTTCAAGCAAAAAGTTTTTTACAAGCTTCATCATTATACTCATGGTTTAATAAATGTTTATTGTAAATTTGGTGTCTCATAATGGCCTGTGTTTAGTATTACAGGTATAGAACAAACACACCAATTTCCCGACTATCTTCACAGTCAAAAATGTAAAACTTCAAGACCCAACACTCAAACGAATAGATATTTCACTATTCAAATAATCACTTCATATCAAACCAATACTGAAACTATTCTCAGGCTTTAGGTGTACTTTACTTCGCCACAAGATGTGAGACTTTGTAATGTGCTGATATTATCTTGTAGGTCAATGGTAAACATCTTGATAAGATCATCTCTTCATCCCTTGATAAAGTCACCAAGAAGACTGCTGGCGAGAAAGTGAAATTCAACATCACCAGAACCATTAGGAGTTCCAGCCATTCACATGAACCAAAGGTAGGTGAACTGACCTAAACACAAACGAAACAAAACGCAACGAACAGTTGGTGTTGATCATGATAATTGTCTGCTCATTTCTCATTTCTTCTTTCTTTTCGAATCATTCCTCTTTCATTCATAGGATAAGATAATAAAGCATGTAAATAACAGGGTAAGTGGGAAATGTATTCTTTCATTCGTTTAATTCTTTTCTGGCAATAAAGTTACTAATTCAATTTTATATACCTATTGCTATTAGTTAACTAACATAATTATGGCTGTTTTAGTCGAGGGCTCATTTATCGATAGCACCCAGCGTACTCATATGTTTACCTATTCTAATGTGTATTTAATGAAATAGACAAAAAGCTTCCCCGCTGGGCCCAGTGCATGCACTTATAAGCACTTTAGAAATAGTTGAACAATTGAGAAGTGTTGGGAAGCACAAACGACCGCTACCTTTGGGATGGTGCTTTTCCTAACACTTCGCTCGTGTACTGCATTATAATGAAACATACATTCGCGCGCGTTTTCTATTTCTTTTGTTTACTTTCTTCTTCGCTCCTTTGAGCACATGAGACTTTATCAAACATACATGTCTCGTATTTTTAGACTAGCGATACAAGTGATGTGGTGTTCAGACGTCTCCATGGCAACAGCTCTCGGTCTGGTACTAAAGACTCAAACCGCTTGTCATTGATATCCAATGACAGTAGCGTCTCAATGAGATCACGTGACTCGCGCCTCTCTGCCGCCTCCAGTCTTGGCTCGATGGTATCTAACGCTGACTCGTGTTTTGCTGACTCAAGCTCTGATCATTCGGGAAGTCTTCTTCATTCGACTCCAGTCTATCAGGGAGAGCGACAGCGCATTCCTACTGCGATATACGTACCTTCCGACGCACCACTCGAAACTGCCACCGCCGGAGCAACTTCGGAAGATGATCGACCGTCTTCGGAACTTCTTTCATCAGATCCCAAAGAAAACGAAACGGATGAAATGAAATTAAAGGCTTTTCCACTTGGACCAATGGGACGGAAGTGTTGTAGCACAACAGTGCTAAGAACTGGGAGCCCAGAGGTCATTAGTGATTATGGACTTACTCGTACCCAGTCTACTATTACGGCCATCAGAATTGACGAAGAGGATGCATGGTTTGGACTGGAACGAACTGGAAGGTTTGGTACCCAGGAAACACTTGCAGCCTGTGGAATAAAGTGAGAAATGTTTTGTTCTTCCCCTCCCTCCCTCCCGGCCCTCCGTCCCTCCCTCCCGGCCCTCCGTCCCTCCCTCCCGGCCCTCCGTCCCTCCCTCCCGGCCCTCCTCCCTTCCGGCCCTCCCTCCCGTCTATCCACCCATCTATTCCCTCAATCATTGCCTTTTCACCAGTCCATATATATATCCTTTCCTTATACATACGTTTTTAGATTTTTGTGAACTGAACCAACGTGTCTAATTTTTTTTGATTTTGTTTTTGCTTTTCTTCTTCTTCTTCTTCTTCTTATTTTTTGCCTTTCGTCATCCAAGACCTATAAACTCGAAAAGGCGCGTAGAGATGTCTTTTAATAAACCTATCCAGGACGGCGTCTATGAAAACCAATTAGCAGTGCAAAACGTTCACAAAGTGTATTTATTCATTTGTTTCAGTGCACGAGTAATGCGAATTGAGAAACAAATATTTCAGAGTCTTGGACTAGAAGTGACAGGTGGCAATCTGGTGGGCATCTATGTAAAAGAACTAGCAGATGACTCCGTGTGTAGAGAAGTTGGATTGGAGGTTGGAGATCGGCTCTTCAAGGTTTGTGATAATCATGAAAAAAAATGAAACTGGACTCCCTGTGTATAAACGACCAGCACTTCGCGCGCGCGGATGGCGTCAGCACTGTTCTGCGTTCACTAATAAAGCACAGTTTTCGACAAATCAGCGCGCGCGTACTATCCTAACTATGTAATAAATAATTATTATTATTCTATCATGCTGAAAGTAAGTTTATAAGGTAGGAAGAAAGTATAGAATAATATTACATTTGTCACTAGCTGAAAGGGAATCTCTGAAAATAGTGTAAAATTATTTTATTATTATTTATCTAATTATATATCATTTATTATTATTTGCTACAACCATCATAATGACACTCAAAAGGTTTTCTCTGTTCTTTGTACAGTTGAATAGCTATGATTTCACTCGAGCAACACTGGATTACGCCACTCGTATTGTGCGGTTACTAAGCAGCTGTACATATGTGAGGATCGAAGCGGAGTCTGATGAATGTAAGTAGATCAACGTACCATTCTTATCCTGAACACGTGCCCCCAGTTTGCTCTAGAACAAGGAGTGTCCGATGAATGTAAGTAGATCAACGTACCATTCTTACCCTGAACACGTGTCCCCAGTTTGCTCTAGAACAAGGAGTGTTTACGACCTGTAGCAATGACGTTTGGTTCGTTTACACCTATTTCAATAAATGTTGTCATCGCCAAAGGCGATAGGCGATAGGTCATTCTTACATATGGAAATGGTTTCGTTGAATACAAAGAACATTTAATCAATCTCAACACTAAGGTTCATGTTCTTGACGAGAATGAGAAGCAGAAACACAAGTCATTCCAGCTATTCTTGGATCTTGGAATCTCTTATGGTTTTCGCCTATCGACTTTCGCCTTTGGCACTTACAACGTTTATTGAAATGAGTATAAGTAATAGGTGTATAAGTAATAGGTGTATATGTAATAGGTGTATATGTAATAGGTGTATAAGTAATA